CTCATATATATCGCTGCTAGCGGTCCCTACTTCATTCTCGTTCTCTTCCCCGTGAAGATCCTTATTGGAAGCTATCCTCAGCCGAATTCTCGTAAGAGTGGCCGCTTAACTGTTCACAGACAAGCCGCATTTAAGGTACGTCGCCGAACGCGGCTGCTTTTTGTTTAGGGGGGGAAAATATCTTTCTCTCAATTATTCCCTCACGTTAAGGGAATAATTGCTGTAAGGCCTGATATCGAGAGGCACGTTGTGGTGATCTCGTTAATCTCCCGGTGTTCGCATCTCTGTTATGGCGACTGCGAGCGCATCCAGTGGCACAGGGAAGGGGAAAGATCCCTCTTGCCCGTGTGCTTGTGGGTCTATGATTTCATCTAAAGACTCTCACCCTCTGTGCATTGCGTGTTTGGGAGTTAGACACGCACAGGCTGTGCTCGCTAATCCCGAGTGCTGCCTGCACTGCTCTCAGTTCCCGTTAAGGGTTTTGGAGCGCAGAGTACGAGTCGCGGCCGCGAATAAAGGGGACCCGAGTCTTTCCGCGCTTCCCGCGGAAATGAACGAGGTTGCTCCGCAGGCCCGGTGCAGCTGGGGAGAGTTGATGGATGAGATTTCTCCTGAACTTCCTCCCCTCTTTGAATCAGACCCTTTGACGGGGGACAAAGAGGAGGAGGAGGATGATGATGAGACGATTGCTCGTCTTTTAGAGGAGGATTTGGAGGAAGACGAAGAGGATGCTATCCTCCCTCCTAATCTTTCTTCCAGGCCTGGCAGTGCTATGGGTGAGTCCCCCTCCCCATGCCAGGGGAACTGGACCTCATTGAAATGTGTAGGAGGGCAGCTGCCAAACTCTCTATCGACTGGCCATCTCAGCAAGAGGGCCAGGGCACAGAGAGGGATTTATATGATGGGAAGAGGCTGCCGTCGCGCACTTCCCCAGTCAAGCAGCTGATACCAACTGTCCCAAGCATGTGTCACAGAGATGCAGAGCTTCTGGGACAAACCCTTCTCACATAGGGTTCCTGTTAAAGGTTCCTCTAGGCTAGATGTCCACAATATGGAGGAGTTGGGGATGTCCAATCCCCCTCCCCCTCCCAGTCGGATTGTCGGTGGCAAGTCACCTCCACCACAATCGGCGAGCAGCTCTATCATCCTCCTCTCCTTCACTGCCGGGACGGACAGAGAGGTTTGTCTGCTTCTCTTTTTCAAAAAAATTATCGGTCCTCTGCCTTGGCTGTCAGAGCCCTAAATGCCACCTCACTGCTCACAGCATACCAGGCTGAGCTTATGGAGGAGATGGGGAGGCAGATTGATGCTGGGTTATCCGACTCAGCATTGTGGGAAGAGATCTGCGTCATTGCAGATCTCAACCTGCGCTCATCGAGGCTCTGCTTCCAGAGGGGGACAGTCAGGGTACAGAAACCAACCCTAGTCACCCCCTGCCTCAGCAGTCAATGCAGACAGAGGTTCACCTAAAACAGCCCCAGTCCAGAGGCAAGGCCTCGTTTGTGGCCGCAGCGTCTAAGCATCGCCCAGCTAACCCTCAGGGAGGAAAAAAAGAGGCGGGCGACCTAACCTGTGGTCTGGGTTTAAATCAAAAGAGGGGCTACAGCACTCACGGAGTCTCTGTAGCACCCCTCTGCACAGCACAGGAGTCTTGTCCTACGCGTTGTTTACGCGTTTTCTCCGAGTCTGATCGTACCAACTCTAAAAAGAGTAAGAGAGTGGCAGTGTGGGAACCGGACCGATAATTTTTTTTTCTTTTCCTCTCTCCCCTCTACACCTGCACCACTCACCGGTCTCGAGTCCCACGGAGGAGCTCCGGAAGGATAAAAGGAGGAGTTACGACCGTGAAAGAGGAGAGAGGACCAGGCCTGGACTTCTGGACTACTGGCCGCAATTTCTGCATGCCATGTGGGGATTGACAGAAAACAATAGGTCAGCACCCGCTTGTGTGCAGGTTTATGAGGGGTGCGACGCGTCTGAACAGGGTTTCAAAGCCGCTGATTCCGCCGTGGGAGCTGTCGGTGGTCCTTAACGCACTCTCTCAGCCTCCTTTTGAGCCAATAGACAACAGTGATTTAAGGCTCCTTTTCGCTAAAGGTTGCTTTGTTATTGGCTCTTTCGACCACGAAACGAGTTAGTGAACTTCATGCTTTGTCGGTTCATAACTCCTGTATGCTGTTTGCCATGGATTTCTCTCGAGTAACTCTCAAGACGAATCCAGCATTTGTGCCTAAAGTGAGCGAGTCAGCTTTCGACTGTAGACAGGTGGATTTACTGGCTTTTCATCCGCTGCCTTTTTCCTCATCTTAAGAAGAGCTGCTGCATTTTGTGCCCTGTCCAGACGAAGGGATCAAGAAAGAGTAATCGGTTATTTGTTTCATGGGCTGATTCTCATAAGGGTAAACCTATTTCTCGTCAGCGCCCGTCCCACTGGGTGGTGGAAGCTATTATATTGAGTTATAATAGCATGGGTCTTAGTCCATCCAGAGGGGCTGAGGGCTCGTAGTACCTGAGGGTTAGCCACCTCGTGGGCGTGGTTTAAGGGCATTTTCAATTCAAGACATTTGTGCGGCGGCAAGCTGGGCTTCGCCACACACTTTTGTCAGATTTTATAGGTTGGATGATACGGAGCCTTCGTTGGCACATTCCGGCCTAAGTGTGTAAAAAACAACAACAAAAAAACACTCGTACAGAGGTTGTTTTTATTTTTTACATGTCTCTGTTCTATTCTGGGAATAGTGGAGGACTTGCGTTATTATTATCACACATCACTGAGTTGGTTGACATGCCTGCTTCGGACAGCATATCTGCAATACGGGTGTTGTCTATATCCCATAGTGAGATACCGAACAAATGTTTGAAAGAGAACTTTAGGTTACTCACGTAATCCCGATTCTCTGATAACATGAGTGAGGTATCTCACCACACTTCCCTCCTTGCAGCAGCACGGTGAAGAGATAAGCTGAGAATGAAGTAGGGACCGCTAGCAGCAATATATATGAGGGAGGCGGGACTCCCACTTCACTGTCGTGATTGGTCTGTCAACCGACAGACGTGGTGTAATTGGTGCTTCCAGGATTGGTCACGCCCGAGGCGATTCCCATAGTGAGATACCTCACTCATGTTATCAGAGAACCGGGGTTACGCGAGTAACCTAAATTTTCTTGTACACAATTATACAAAAATACCCGCACCACTCTTTACTTCACTGCCAAATGCTGAAGAGACTTCACTTCATTAACTCAATAAGAAGCCGGTGAGGGAGCCCTAAAAACGGGACAGAACCAGAAACGAAGAAATGACCTTCCTTTGGATATACAAAGCGTGCTTTTCAATATCTTGTGCTCACGTTCATCACAGAATATTCACACACACCGCTCATCATCGACGATCTCCAAGACACAAACTGACGTCAGTATCTCCAGCGTGTAGCTACTTGCTCCAAACCAAACTATGCACACAGCTACAGCTTTCATAGGTTACCATTTGTGTCTTCATCGATGAGAAATGTGGAATCCCGAAGGAAAACAAGTAAAAATGACAGATGACGAACAAGGAAACACACAGATGTAAACATTTTTATCGTTTGGAAAATAAAAGAACACCTGAGGCTGTTCGATTTCAATTCTCAAGTCACTTTGTGTCATTTTAGTACCAGTTATTTGCTGAATCCAGTATATTGCGTGTTCATGATGCAAACCGGTAACAGATCCTCCTTAAGATTCATCTTCATCACCAGCTTTTTTTTTGCACAAAGTCTCCAGTTTTTAACTTTGAGGATACAGTAACAGAAACCAAACAAAAATCAAAACCATCAGTGCAAAACTCCCAGTAAACTGACATCAGACTAGATCTGCCATCAAGATCATTTTCAGACATGATGAAACTTTCAGGAGTGTCGCTTGGACCTTTTGGGTCACAAAAACTACTGCAAAATGTAATTTTAGGCTGATAAATAAAAGAAAACAATCTGGCACATCAATTTAGAGGAATCGTGTGCAGCAGCAGGTATGAAAACATGAAATACTGTAATAATAATAATAATAATAATAATTACAGACTTTAGTCGGGGACTTTAGTTTCACTCAAGAACAAATTAATCCTCCAAACACCAGCAGTGAATCTCTAAACTGATCGTTATTAGATTGAAATGATTAACACTCATTTGTTCTGCTTGCGTCTCACGAATTAGGCATATTTATACGTTCCTTCAGCCGACTAAGGTCTGTAATGTACTGCAAAACGAAACAGGTTTGCACATCAGATCTGTACACGTTGTTGACACGCATGTTTAATCCCTTAAAGGTCAGTTTTCTGTAAGAAAATATTGAATATTGACAATATGCCACTCTAAAACATGATCGGCTCCAATAGAAACCTTTCAGACTGGGATTTCCATCAGTTCTTGATGGATTAAAGGAATAGTTCACCCAATGTACTGAAAATGTACTCAGGCTATCCAAGGTGAGTTTGTTTCTTCATCAGATTTGGAGAAATGCAGCATTATGGATCCTCTGCAGTGAATGGGTGCCGTCAGAATGAGAGTCCAAAACAGCTGATAAAAACATCACAATAATCCACACCACTCCAGTCCATCAGTTAACATCTTGAAAAGACAAAAGCTGTGTTTGTAAGAAATAAATCCATCAAGACGTTTTTAACTCAAATACGAGTCCATAATTCATAATAACGCTTCCTCCAGTGAAAAAGTCCATCTCCTGTTGTCCTTCAAAGTATAGATTCATATTTTTGTTAAAAACGTCGTAATAATGAATTTGTTTGTTACAAACACGCAGCTTTTGTCGTCTCCAGATGTTAACTGATGGACTGGAGTGCTGTGGATTACTTGTGGATTATTGTGATGTTTTTATCAGCTGTTTGGACTCTTATTCTGACGGCACCCATTCACTGCAGAGCATCCATTGCTGAGACACTGATGCAATGCTACATTTCTCCAAATCTGATGAAGAAACAAACCCATCTACATCTTGGATGACCTGAGGGTGAGGACTTGGTAACCAAATTAAATTTTTGGGTGAACTATTTCTTTAAGACAGATATAATGGAGACCGGTTGTAACAAAACCCTCAAGTTAAGCATGATAATTCTTCACTTGGTCATTTTCTTTTATGAATTAGAATTAAGGGTTATCTCAGCTTGGGGTTCATCACAACCGGATCAGATCTCTAGCGATGAGTCTTCAGTGGTGGTTTTTCGCTACAAGCCGTTATTATTTCTCATCTAGCTCACTAAAACTGAAGCAACGCCGTTTGTTGCTGCTGCGTATCGACAGTCAGATGCTTCATGTGACGGCTACATTTCTCTTAATATTAGTACTTGGATTAGATCAATCTCACCAGGTTTAACTACACAACTAGAAAAAACAAAAACTCAGTCAGTCGTTCGTAACTAAACGCATTTCCGACGCCAGATTCCTCCCAAAACATTTCGTACAAAAGCAGGCACCAAACAAGAGCCCGTTTTTCATTAGCTGTCCTCGTTTACACTATCCAAACTACAGGGATTCGGTTTCTAAACTAAGATCTGAATTGGCAGTTTCCCGATCAGACGCATTTGGTTAACCATGAATCTTCTCAAACGCCTCGAATCGTTGATTCTCCATCGCTGTTTTGCATCTAGTCCATAAGGTCACGTTATGAGCGGCGAGCGGTTTCTACTGCGCTACAAAGACGGGAATGTCAGTACTCTGTTGCAGGCATACAAACACATCCGTTAAAGGCAAAAATAGCGTTAAAAATACCAAAACAAAACAAAAACGTAAGAATATGGGTCATTCAGTGACAACACAAACACACAGCGCGTCTCTGGAAATACTGTACATCGGGGAGAAGTTTAAATCGGAGCGCGAGGAACTCAAGAATGCCATCGCCGTAGTGGTTTCAATGGCGGCGACAGGAGATTCAGTCAGTCTGTCAGTGTTCTGTACGGTGAACGCAGTCTAAAGCCGATGGATTTCAAGCCGAATTCTGACGATACGCTCTCGCTATTGCACCTTTCCTTTGGAATGCCAGATCCAATCGTTTAGGCAAAGAACACGAAAAAGCGAGCAAATAAATCCGGCAATACTATCGCTGTTAAGGCGAACCATGGGAGAAAAAGCGCGACGAAAACAGGACATTTTCCCATCCGTTATTCCATTTCCTGAGGCGTTTTTTTTTTTTTATCCAAACTTGGAATTTTTTCGAAAAGGGAAATCCGGGATTTGAGCTTCCAAACGAGCAGTCGCCGATGTGTTCATGCACATGTACGAAATGGTTTGTAAGCATTGGAGCGTGTGCTTATGTACAGTCTGAGTGTTTTGGGTTTCTAAGGTGCTGATGTTTGGAGCCGGTTCACAGCGTTCGATGGGGACAAACAGACATGTGCGGATGAAGGCCTTGCGATGGGGTCTTTGTCATTCTCTCGGCTGTGGTTACTGGTGGACCTCGTTGGCGATGAGACTGTCCTCTCCGGACTGGAAGTCGGCCTCGTTTAGGCTGCTCCCGGCGTTGATCATCTCCTCGTCCTGCGAGGACTCTCCGCTGCCTGCTCCGGTCTCGTCAGAGTTTGGGTCCTGCAGGACCTGGGCGATGTACATCTGCTGCTGAAAACAGATGCACAAGAGTCAATCACAGGTCATATAAAAACATCCATCTGTCAGACCTGCCAACCTCGGGGTTTGCAAGATTTAATGTTAAATATTTTTTATAGGTTAATAATCAGGGTCTGCACTCAGTTTGTGATATTCCGGTTATACAGTATTTTAGAATAAAAAGTAGGGATGCAAGAATACAGTTAGCCCACGGTTCAATAAATACCTCAGCTTTTTTATTTTTTTACCACAGTTTTTGGTTTAGTTATTTTTTGCTATTTTTAAATGCTATTTAAAAAAATAAGTATTATTTTTATGGATTGGCCATTATTTAGTGCTATGAACACATGTAATGTGTGTTTCATTCACACTGGACGCTTGACGGCGCCCTCGCACAGAAAATCCACATATACGTTATAGAAGAAATAGAACTCAGGACGCTCCAGGAAATCCCTAATATGGACAAAAATAGCCAGCTATCACTGTAACTGCATGAAAGAAGACAGAAACGCTTTGAATGATGACATTCAAAAAGAACATTAAGATAATAAACACTGTACTGCGACAATGTTTATCTGTGTTCTTAAAACCACCTCGAGTATTTTAATAATTAAGTAACGTTATATTTATAATCCACTGCTAATCGCCGTTATTCCAGTGTAGAATTTATTTCTGCGTCATTCTGTGATGAGAAGCCACATCATATCAAGAGGAAAATTATTTGAAATATTTGTCTGATGTTATGCAGTAAAAGAATGTTATAATGCTCTTTTTTGTTGTTGGACAAAAGGTTTAGACATTACAAGGGAAGATGCTGGGCGTGTGTTGCTTTTTCAGATGCAGGCGTTTCCTCATCTCAGCGCGCAGACTCACCGACACACAAACAGAGCCAGCTTGGAGAGAAATAAAACGCACGGAAATTTAAAAGCTAAACCTAAAAAAAACGCTCTGATTGTTTGAACTCTTCATCTTTTTATGTTGCTTGTTTTGAATACTGCGCGTGGACAGAGGCGTCACCAGGTTTTTGCGTAGTTTAGAGTGACAAATCGTACCAGCGTACTTGGAGGACAAAATGCGTATCCGCTACGCAAAATGCGTACAGGTTGGCAGGTCTGCATCGGTTTAAAATATGGATGAAATGGAAAACAGGATTGTCTTTGATCGTTTAATCTCACAGAGTTCATATTTCACCCCAAGATCAACAAGAATAAGAATAAATATGAAAGAACAATAAAAAACATTGAAAATGAAACATGACACTATATTTTGCATTAAGCCTTTTTTAGGACCATTAAGATTATTTGCATTGTGCCAATATTTCAGTTACAATAAAGCACATTTTCACCCAAATATTCATTAGGGTAATGCACAAATAATACATTAATAAAAACAATAATAATAAAGCTAATAATTATAACAACAATTCAGACACAATTTTTTGTATTATTAAAATCAGCTATTTAATTCAGTACAACAAATACTACCATTATGTATCACTTGTACTTTAAAAACAATATAAATTGAAATGTAATTTAAATATTATTATTATCATAATAATAATAATTATAATAGCAAAAATACATAAAAAATGTTTTTATTATTCAAATCAGCAATTTGATTCTGTACAACAAATACTACTATTACGTTTCAGTTTATAGTATTAAAAATACTATAATTTAAAATGTGGCTTAAATATTATTATTATTATTATTATTAATTAGGTATTTAGAATTTATCAAAATTAATAACAACAACAACAACAATACATACACAATGCTTTAAAATCAGTAATTTAATTCTGTACAACAATTACTACTATTATGTATATTTTCACTTGTACTATAAAAACAATAAATTTAATTATTTAATTTTAAACAACAATAAAATTATGTTGAAATAATTTGTTGTTATAATTATGTTTTTATAAATTACTATAAATGTTTTTTTTATTGTTAAAATCACGTATTATTCAAATCTTTTTTATTTTGTACAAAAAATACTACCCATTTATCAGTAGTACTTATAATGTACAAATTATAAACAATGTAAATTAAAGATAATTTAAATGTATTATTATTAATTATAAAAATCAGAACAAAACAATAAATAGTATTTTTTTTTTCATTAAGTTACTGAGAGCTGGTGGAGAGAGGGGTAAATGTGCTTAATTTTAATGAAAATATACAAAATTAAATTTTTGAGATCTTGATGATGTTAAAAAAGAAAGTAACAAAATAAAAGTAAAAATAGTTCACTAGTATAAGAGAAAAACAGCCTGTTTAACTCTAAGGATCATAGAGAGGGTGAAAAATGACCATGAAAAACTAAATTCTGAGCGTTGTCGTTTGAAGAAACCACGACTAGCTTCACATTGGGAAAGTACCTGAGATTTGTTGGAGGGTGAGGATCTAGCAGGACGTCCGTTCTCCACTCCGTCGATCTCCGTGTCCTTGGTGTCGATCTGTAACGAGACAGAGGTGCTGGTGAGCGTTCCTGCTCGGGGGCAGGTGACGGTCTACCTGAGCTACCCGTGCCGCCCGGTGGACTGTACCTGCAGTACTGCAACCCGTACCTTGTAGTTGTGCGCGCTGAGGTACTTGAAGTGACCGAAGCACACGTGCGACAGGCAGACCACGATGGTGATGATGAGCACCACGAAGGTAAACATGGACGTCGGGGTCAAAAACCCTGAGAAACCAGAGGAAGTGAGCCACATTTGGATGGTACTCTATTTTTACCCTATTCATCTGTAGTGTCTTACTTTAAAGTAGGATATTTGTGACCCTGGACCACAAAACCAGTCATAAAGGTAATTTTTTTTAAATTGAGATTTATAGAAATAAGCTTTCCATTGCTGTGTGGTTTGTTATGATAGGACAATATTTGGCCGAGATACAACTATTTGAAAATCTGGAATCTAAATATGGAGAAAATCGCCTTTAAAGTTGTCCAAATGAAGTTCTTAGCCATGCATATTACTAATCAAAAATTAAGTTTTGATATATTTACGGTAGGAAGTTTACAAAATATCTTCATGGAACATGATCTTAACTTAATATCCTATTGATTTTTGGCATAAAAGAGAAATGGATCATTTTGACCAAATACAGTGTATTGTTGGCTATTGCTACAAATATACCTGTGCTACTTATGACAGGTTTTGCGCTCCAGGGTCACATATTTGAGTGAACGCACCTGTCCGCATGGTGGAGAAGAACAGCAGCCAGAAGAGGCACAGGATTGGTGCAGCCACCACCTGATTGACGGCTCCCGAGTGGATCTTCTTGTCGAGTTTGGAGGGCAGGTAAGCGTAGTACATGTTGTACCGGTCCACCAGGTGCTTCAGGAGCATGTACATCAGTCCTGCAGATGACAGATTATATTAAATTATATTACATTTCCATCCAGTGTCTTAGTTCACAGTAAATGCTGCTCCATATGAACTCATCTCTGCATTTGCTCTGAGTTTCTGTCTCCTATAACATCCATTTGAAACCATTCTCCTAAACTTTTAATAAGAAGCACTCACAAACCGGCTGTTGTCAACAGAGAAGCTTTAAGACCCCCTGCGGCTTTGTGCCAAAATAAAAGCTTGATGGTTTAACATTTGAAATTGGAAGAAATTAAGACCAAAAAATATTAGTAGTGCAAATGTACACTGTAAAACAAATATATATATATATATATATATATATAATTTTAAATGCACTCACACACACACAATATATATATATATATATATATATATAAAACTATATTAAAAATATTATGTAACATTTTTATACATTTACAATAATATTTATGTAATATTTCTTATGTTTAGAATTTTCATTCAATAATAATAATTATTGTATAACTGTATTGATATATAATAAACTGATATCAACCCGAAGCTTTTAGAAATAAAAGTAAATAAATAATAATAAAAATAATATTAATAATTTAGATTTTTGATTGCTAAAATAATACTGATTGCCATTTTTCTGATAAAAACTATGATTATAGGTTAGATTATATAGATAAGTTCTATTAAAGTTTTAGTTGTGTGTTTTTGTAATTCTTATTAGTTTTTGTTTTCAAATAATATGTCTGTATATTATTATATTAGTCATTTTAATACGTCTACTTAAACGAAAATAAGAAATGTTGCCTTGGTAATTAGCTAAAATAAAAAATGTATTTTAAAAGTTGTATCTTATTTCATTTAATATTTATTTTAAGTAATGTTTTTTAAATGTTTAGTTAATGATAATAACCCTGATCATAATTAGATTTTTCCCATCAAATCGTATAGACCTACACATCAGCAAACAAGAAGTGACATTAAAATTTGGAAAATGGACCTAAAATATACTAAAAGTATATTTCACCAGCTTGTAGTAGCACGCTGGTGTATAGATGAGCTCAAAGTAACGAATATGAACCAAAGGCCACAAAATTAAAGGGGTGGTTCATTGCGATTTCACTTTTTTAACGTTAGTTAGTGTGTAATGTTGCTGTTTTGAACAAACAATATCTGCAAAGTTACGAAGCTGAAAGTTCGATGCAAACGGAGATATCGTCTTTTAAAGGGGTCATATGATGCGTAAGTGTAGTAGTACCGCAAGCCCTCCGGACGCTCCTCCGTCGAATCCGCCGGCCGCGCCATTCTCAAGCTCACCGGCCTCTGCTCACTCTAGCCCACCGTGTATTTCATTGTGAAAGCGAAACTACTTTGTTTGGTCTTCCAAAAGAGGACACGACTAGAAATCAGTGGTTAAGTTGTATTTACAACACTGTTCCAGAACAGTTCAACCCAAATATTCAGATGTGTGCAGCGCATTTTGCGGAGGGTGAGGACTGTTTCCTGAGAGTAGACTACAATGCCGGTGTCTATTTCTATAACGTGGGGCAGTTCCAAATTTGCAAGGACAGTCTGGCGCTTCTGACTCACAGACTGTAAGTACGTTGTTTATATTTAAAGAATTTGCCACTGACGACTCAAACGCGAGTTTTGAGCAGTGTAGAGTAGCGCTTGTTGTTTGT